CCCCAATCTACCCCAGGATCAACGTTCGAATCAAAGAACTCGTTGCGTCTCTCAGCGTTCAGTTACCTGCCAATATGCCTTGTATATTTACTCAGTTCTCCAATGGGATTGCGTCAGACCCAATGCCCAAAAACTTGTTTTTTCCGGCGGGCTGAAGCACGGCCAGATAGAGGCTGCATACGCTTTTGAACATTTCTTTAAATCAGCACGAAAAGCCAGTACGTGGCGCATCTTGCAGGATGTAATAGGGACAATTCTATTTCAGTATAATTTTTCGATTTTCGGCAGAAACGTCCCGAAACAAAGGCGATTGTATAGATTTAACCTTGTACGTCACTATTGCGACAAAGCGCGACATGACGTCCGTTTCCGATAATCATTAATATCAGGCCCCTGCACCTGGTTCCTTTTTTTAGATCAGAATTGTTTGAGCAGAAGGCAAGGCATAAATGATGATGTAAGGCATATAGGGCGACCTTCTGGAAGGACGTAATCAATTTTTGGGACTGAATCTTTGGGAGCTCCAGAACATGTATGGGCGATATTTCCAGTTACACACTGGTGGCAGGGATGGAACATTTCAAGTCCCTGGATAGATGGGGTCATGCAATACTGCTAGGCCCTCGCATCACTTTTGGGAATTGCTGAAACATGTGGGGCTTCTGCTTTTCCTTGAAGGAGCGGTTGCCAACCAAAGAGGTCTTCCTGCTTTGAATACCCATTGTAAGACCCTCTGATCTGATCGTTCGCAGTAACAATAGGAAACAGTGCTGTCTGAAGCCGTCTGCGCAATGACACCCCACTGAATTTTTGTCAATTCCGAGTTGTCTCATCGATTGTATGAAACGGGAAACTGCGCCTTTTCTGAAAGTTTGAATCTGTGGTCTGGAAGTGGATGTCATGGAAACAGCTCCGAAGTTTTGTAAGGAAAGAAGTGATGTAGCATAGCTCCTGGGAATACCGTTCTCTCGGGAAGCTTTTATTGGTACCTTTCAGAAACTACCGTTCGGCTGGGAATCAGATCGAGAAGGTCTCGGCCCTTCGCAAAAACAGTTCCGATTGAAAATGTTGTAGTCTTAAGGGGATCCCAACAATCCCTGCACCCCTCCGCGATTAGATAGCTCAACGTTTCTGAAGAAATATCGGAGATATTAAATGGTAAAGGGCGATGGTTACGATTATCAGTGAGAGCCAAATGTGTAGTGCTCCCTTAAGAACTCTTCTGACGTGGTTAACTCTTCTGACGTCATTTTCTCCCTTAAATGGCACATGAGTAAGGTTAACGAGTTATTGACATTACTTTAGTGATTACTCAGACCACTTTCTTGTTACTGCATTGGATTCCGCATTTGTTTTTTATATTCCAAAAAAGGAATGTCTCTCTTCTGTTCGCCAAACAAATCTGTTCATGTTTTCACAATCCATGCCATTTTCTATTAGAAAGTCAATTAACATGCCTCCATATGAGTCGTTTACTGCCCAAGCTGATTAAGGGAATGCAATTAGTGGAATTGTCGGAGAGAACCCTGACATCTCGGGTTCTTTGTTTCTTTGTTTGTTTATTTTACACAATGAGGCGCGCACGTATACAAAAGGGACCACGTCAAACAGAACGCAGTGTCGTTAAGTACCAGCATTTGTTCGGGCAACTCTAGAGGGAGGCCTTGAGGGTGAGGGCTGTAGAAACTGAAAGTACAGGGAGAACGGATCATCCTGTCCGTTCTTTTTTGAATACTTCCAGCATTTCAATCTCCTCATTCAGCCATATCTGGATTTTGATGATTACACTGTTATTGTACTAAAGAATTCCCAGGCATGCTTACTGAGTCGAGGTAAAGGGAAAAATTTATCAAAAGTTCCTGAAACTAAGAAGAGGAGGGATAGCTAAAGAGCAGCTTCTCGTGCTGGAACTTGCGGTTCATTTCTTTCCCATATCTTCCAGCCGGGTAAGAAGCTATGCTTTCCTGCTCATACCGGGTGAATAGTCGGCCCTCTCACACATTTTCAGTTTCATTTCTCACTGAGTCCCATTTCCGACTGAGCAATGAACTTGACGGACTTCAAAAAAATCTCAAGTCAACCATCTTAAGGACTATCAAGAACCGGTTTCTATTGACGTCCTTCCGCAATCGAACTTATCCAAAAATGGCTCCTTCTCTCTAAGTTGGCTGCAAAAACTACCCCAAGATAGAACTCTCGAAGTAATCCTCTTGAACTTACTTCGAATTCCAGCAGTTGTCAGGACATTGTTGAATGGGAGGAAAATAAACGAAAACAGTCGCTAAACCGCGGTAAAAAGTACTTTTGTCAACAAACCGGAGCCTCTAGATCGATGAGTAAAAGTAAACGAAGTTAACACCCGTGCTGACGTAGTAATTTGCAATAAAAGCTGCCAAACAGGTCTTAAAACGATGTTTTTGTTATTCTTCTGGAAACATTGGAAGAAGTGGAACGAAAAATTGTGAATAAATCTGACTAGAAAATAAATAATACAAATTTTCAATGATTCTCTACATGTGACGGGCGAGTTGGTCGTTCTTTGGCTTGTGCCACGCATCCGCTTTTCATTCGAATCTGAAGATTTATTTGAATGCCTGACGAAGAGGAAACGGGCGTCAGTTCATAAGTGAATCCATTCCATATGTCTTCAAAGAAAAATGCTGAAAGAATATATAACCGGTATAGAGAAATCGGGTACGCCCATGGTCCCATGGGTCCTTAGTTGTGGGAACTTTTTAGAAATGATTTATTCGAAACTTTCTAACCCAGCTCTTCCTTTCATCTCTCTGTTTTCCCACTTTTTAACCTAACGTTCCATCCATTCTTTGTCTTATACACGGTTTTTGTCCTCCTGACTTGATTCATGTTGGTGGAGTTAGTGTTGTGCCAAAAGGTGCGCTATCATACACATGGTCCGAGTAACAAATCCCGCCTGGACAGTCCAGCCTCACATTCCATCTTGGTCAACTATTTTGTACCAGACTCGTCTGGGGGATAAAAACATTGACTCGTGTTGGTTGGTCACCGCAATTCATCGTACAGGTTACATACGCATTCAAACGCCGCTACGTTTCTGAATGAAAGCCGATGGTCGGCTCTTTCCGAAACGGGATCGATCAACGCCGAAGAACTTCATCCTTATTTGTTTGTCTACGTTATTTATTACCCTATTTCCTAGCTTCCTATTGTTCGAAGGCTAATTACTTCCTTTGGCAGCAGAAGTAGTGGTCACTGACTTTTCAACAAGACAAGTGGAATGTCTTGACTCTTTGAATGAGATTCACATCTGGTTTGGTCGAGAATCAGCATCTGTGTATGATAGTGGAATTTATTTCCGACATAGATTTGTTGCGATTTTCTGGAAGCTCTTAAACCGCACTTTCAAGACCAGACAGCATTCGAGCACTATAAAATTTATGCAGAAGTCATTGTAGTGGGAGAGGGGAATAGGCTTCATTCCGTCAGTCGAAGGCCGACTAGGAAGGAGGAAAAATAAATGCCGCTGCTTCCATTCACATTCTTGTCCCCTTTTACGGTCTTTTGATCTATCGTATACGAAGCACTTTGGGAAATCTGCCTGTCTTTGTCTCTGGTCTTTCCTAGGATTCTCACCTCGTGGTCCGTACTCGCTCTGATCCCTAGAGAGGTAGCCTATGAAAAAAAACCTGTTGGTTTGAGTGATCGGTCATTAATGCAGCAGCTCAGCGAATAATCGAGTCTGTTTCCTTTTTATAACTAGAACTCCAAAGGATTTTAGAAGAATTATCTGGCAGGAATGAAAATGAACCAAACAAACCATCGCTTTGAGTTTGAACAGATGGAAAGGGTGAGTAAGACTGCCCTAATTGTGCCCTAATGCTCTGCAGGGTCACGAGGAAGTAGCAAAACATAACAAATACACTACTGTTTTTGTAATTTCGGACGAGTCAACGTACATCTAGTACCACTAAGTCCTATGAAAAGCGGTTGGCCCTAAATCGGGCCCCGTAGAAAGCCGTTCCCTCAAGGTTGCTTTATAAGAACTTTATAAGGCCAAACTGGCGCAAGAGTAGTAAACAATTTGCTGAGTTGAAAGATTCGAGAACGAAATTTTCCGTCCATTGGCACCCCTAGGAGGGTTTGAAGAATACGCCCAGCATTCGACTTCCATTCAGAATTGAAGCAGCATTTGAATGGTGGATGCTCATGTAGGCCATACTTTGATTGCCAGGACCCCGTTTAGGCCCCGGGATGTGCTCTTATTCCCCTGAACGTGCCCGACATCGACTGAATGGTAAGCTTGGTAAGCCTGAGCTGGTATCGATCCTGAGTTTGATTCCCTGACCATGCGTTCGGTACATAACGCTGTTAAATCTCCTCCCATACTTTACAACTATTCAATTAACAATCTTGGTACAGTAACAAAATGAATGGACTACGACTAAGACAGTATTTTAGGCATGGCCAGTGATGTTGGCGATTTCTTCACAAAGCAATTCAATAACGTAAAGGACCTCTTCGCTGGAAATCAGTCGGTGATTTTTACCTTCAATTAATTCTTTACAACCATTAAGCCGTCCTTGGTCCCCCATTTTTCCCTGTTTTCTTTTCCATTCCTCTAACTGTAACCGAAAAGTAGCTCCTGGTCAACTCTATGTCGAATCTGTTAATGCTTATTTTTTCTTCAGGAGCTCGAGAAGAACATCAACCGAGTCCAGGATCTCCTGACCGCAATCAAGGAGAAAACAAAGGTAATGTTACTCTTTAGGAGA